AACATTTTATTTCTCACAGTTCTGGAAGCTGGAAGTCCAAGCTCAAGGCACCAGCAGATCTGGGTCTGGTGAAGGCTGCTTCCTGGCCTGCAGACAGCTACTCTCTCACTGTATCCTCGGAAGGGGAGGGGGCATGAGCTCTTTTGTGTCTCTTTTTATAAGGGCACTACTCTTTTCATGAAGGCTCTACCTTCATGACGTAATTACCTCCCAAAGACCCCATCTCCAAATACCATCCCATTGGGGATTAGAGTTTCCATGTATGAATTTTGGGGGGACACAAACATATAGTCCATAACAACCCACATCTCCAGACTAAGCCAGTCCACAAATGCCATTCCCTCATGCACAAGCTAGGGTCAAGGTTACACACGACTCCACAAAGCCATCCAGGGTGAATCAGAGGCTTCTGCCTTTTCTCCCGTTGGAGTCCACCCCTCCGGGGCTTCTCCAGCCATCATGATCAGGGAAAAGCCAGTCCGCATCCTCAGAAAGGAGCAAGAACCAAGGGAGGGAAACTAGGTCCAAGTGACATTGTTTCAGCCTCTATGCCCAGCTGTGCCTGGCCTTTCATCAATCACATCCTTTTTTGTTTTTCTTTCTCCATCCTAACTTTGGAATAACACCACCACCTACCTCTGGGTTGTCAGGTGATGAAATGAGAGGGTGCATGTACAGCACTTACATCAGTGCCGGGCACTCAGTGAGCACTCACATATTAGCCACCTTGAATTAGCTTGTCTGTCACTGGCCACACAAGAGTCTGAACAAAACAGTGACCTGTTATTGCTACCACACCATGCTGTATTCACAAAATTACACGTTTCAAGGATTTCTCCAAAGAAGGTTAAGGCTTTAAGTTTGTGTGCTCAAGGGCGACGTTTCAGTTAGAAGGAAACCACCCAGACACCTGTCTGGATGTCCCAGGCCGAGCGCCCACACGCCGGCTCTCCTCCCTCCGGTCACTGCAGCGCCACGCACCCAGGCACTCTCCCGACCCGCCCCCTCTCCTCGCCTGCGGCCCCGAGAACACACCGCCTGCTCCGGCGGACAGGTCCTGGGGGGCGGCGGGCCGGGTCCTGGGGACCACGAGCAGGGTCCTGAGGGGCGGCGGGCCGCGTCCCGGGGGATGATGAGCAGGGTCCTGAGGAGTGGCGGGCCGGGTCCTGAGGGGCGGTGGGCGATCCTGAGGGGCGGCAGACCGTCTGCCGGCCGGCTTCGTTCCCGGGAACGCGCGAGAAGCCCGCCCCAGTGGACCGCCACAGCACTGACAGCGACGCGACCCCGGAAGTGGGCGGGCGCACGACCGCGAGGCCGGTCCGTGACGCGATGCGTCTCAGCCTATCGTGCGCGCCCGGCCTTCGCGTCACTGCGAGGCCGGCCAATGGGCACGGGCCTGGCTGCCGCTTCCTGCCCGCCTGCTCACCCCGCCGGCGGGGGAGGGCCGGCTCGCTTTCCCCGACGCCGAGAGGCATCGCCGCGACCCCGCCCGCCCAGCGCCTGCCTAGGTGAGTGCAGCGGCGGGCCCGGGCCGTGGGACCTTCCCTCTGCACAGGTTGGGGCGGCAGAAGGCAGCGGCGCCTCCTTCCCCGGCGGCTGCGTTTGCTCTGACACTCAGGGGAGGGCGGGGGGGGGTTGTACTCGTGCTCTTTCCTGAGCACCTGGTGGAGCGCCGCCCCCGTCCCTGTGGAACGCAGAGTCAGGTGACGCCCCCACCCCAGCCTTTGCTCTGGAGTGATTTGGGAAACGGGCTGCTGGAGCCTGGCGGGTTTAGAGGATCGAGCTGCGAGGAGCCCTTCTGTCCCTCCTCTGGGCAGCGATGGGAGCAAATCTGCTTGTCGTGGGATTAGCGCGGGCAGATGGTCAGGGCCCTGCGCCGACTATGCTACTGGTGGCAGCGCAGGGGGCCCACCTGTCGCCCAAGTGCACGGAACCAGAATGAAACTAGGCTGACCCGCCCGCGATGATGCAGGGCAGGGGGTTCAAATTAAGGGCTGGCCGCTCAGGGCACCTCCTTCTCTTCAGAAAGGACTCAACTACCCTGCATGTCCGGCTGTTTTCTCCCACCTCTTTGGAGCCTGATGTCGCCTTTCAACAGCTGCTGCGATAGGCAGGCAGTAAGCGACCTTAGTAGCCAGGGCTCTCTCTGTTTGCACAGGTGGTGGGAGTGACAGGGTGTAATAGAAAAACAAACCAGCAGGAAACCTTTCAGGAAGGAGTCCTAAGGCAGACTCTAGGAAGTAAATGCTTCAGGAGCTCCCTTGGGACTGTGTTGCTCTCTCTACCACATTCCCATCCCCACCTTCCCTTGGGGACCTTTTGGTTTCTGAAGGGATCACTTAATAAGCCCATGCAGAAAGGCAGATGGTTCTGAGGGTGATGAGCAGGACTTCTTAGCGCAATGACTGAAAGTCCAACTGGAATTCATTGTGCAGAAGTTCTTGGTGAATGGGAGGTTGCTTTCTTGGAAGATGTTCCCTCCATCCCTTCTCCCCTACAAAACAAGAAATCCCAGGGTCCTAGAATCATGGGCTTAACACTCCAACCCTCCTCTCAAGAGTCCTCCGACCCAGTGACCCGGTGTCCCTGGACAGGTTACCTGATCACCTCAGAGCTGGGAAGTGGCATGTGACGAGTTGCAGCAGCATTCTGGCAGAGGTGGAAAGGAGGTGTGGCCGACCAAGGATGTTCACCCTGTATCATCTTTAGCTAGGAAATGACTGGTGCCCAGTCACTCTGAAGGGACTTTGCAAACATAACCCCAACCTCATCCTTCCTCTGCAGTAGAGTCTTTCCTTAGCTGCCTGGAAGCTTCAGGCAGCTAGAGATAGAAATAGAAATAGAAATAGAAATTACTGCTTAGTCATTTCTCTGAAGGAAAGTGTATCACATACAAGTCAAAGTCACTATTCATTGAGCTCAGCCTGCAGACAGCCTGACTTAACTGGCTGCTTATATGGTAAACTGAGCTGAGAGCTGTCTTTGAAGATCGGATTTATATTAACATGACACTGTAGGAAACAACATCCCCCCCCGCCCCAAAAAAACCTTACTTTTCCTCAGCAATTTATGATGAGGATTTTCAAACATACAGCCAAGTTGAAAGAATTATACAGTAAACACTCACATACCCACCACCTAGATTTTTACTTTACTTGCTTTATCACACACCTATCTACCTATTCTACCTTACTTCTAACCCTAAGTAATTGACGACATTTGGCTTCCCTGGAGCAGTATTTCCATCTCAGCTCAGGGAGCTGGTGTATGGTGGATGTAGGTAGTAGTGATCATCTGTAAAGTTTGGTTAAACACCCACTATGTACAGAACGCTGTTAGGTGCCGAGGAAATGAAGAGACTGAAGACTCAGGCTGAACAGAAAGGGACTTGATTTTTTTTTTTTTCTAAGAGATAGAAGATAAGTGGTAGTTTGTGGTTACCACAGACCAAATAGTAAAATGACATCAGTAACACTCATTGAGTTCTTGCTGGGTACCAAGCACTTTATTATAAGCTCTGTTCCTGTATTATCTCATTTAATTCTCACAAAAACTACATAAGTATGTCAATAGTCCTTTCTATCTTTTATAGGTTAAGAAATCAAGTCACGGAGAGGTTAGTCAGCCTTTGGTGGTGCTAGAAAGTGATGGGGCTAGGCCCCGAATTCCAACAATCTGGGTCTGCGGTGGCTCTGGGCACTGTTAGTCACAGTATAGATGCCAGAGGGGGATAGTGGACACTCAGCCCTGACCAGGGAGGAGCAAAGGGATGTCTGGGGGTTGCCACAGCTCTTCCAGGGGCTCCAGCTCAGGCGCTGGACGCAGATCCCAGTTTTCAATGGCTTCAGAAGGCCCGTGTTCTGAATTCTCGTGTGGTTGACTGGGCCTTGGTGTTCCGAGGTTCTGTGGCAGGCCCCCCTGGGGCTTGCTCCCCTCTGCTGGTCAGGCTCCCTCCTGCTGTCTTTCTTCCTGTCCTGGATGTTTCCCAATGCTTGGCCCCTGTTCCTTCCACTTCTCTTCTTCCTGTTCCTTATCCTTCAGTCACTTCCTTTCCAGCCTGTGCTCTTTCTTCTTGGTGTTTGTGAGACACACTTTGTTTTGAAAGAGACTATTTGCCCATGGCAGATGCTCCTGTTTTCAGACGCATTTCATCCATGTTCTCACTCCAGTCTCCACGCTTTGTGAAGTACCCACGTGCCTCTGGCATGCTGCAGGAGTGGAACAGCAGGGCCCCAACTTCCAGGCGCCCAGACTTTGTCTGTCTCTTGGTAGCTCTGGTTTCCAAACCAGACTGGCGGTGTCCTCACCTTCAGGATCTTCCCTCCATCCTGGCCCTAGGGCAGTGTTTGGTCTTGGATGTGGGAGCCGCCCCGTCAGGCAGAGCTCCTCACTGCGATTCCTCCACTGCCCTTGTCCAGCTGCTCTGTTTTGCTGCCCTGGGTGTGGCCATGTGGCCCTACCGCAGCAGGAGGCTTGTCCCATCCAGAAGCCAGGGCTCCAGGAGATACTCCCCAAGGAGCAGCCCGAGGGGGTCTGGGAGGGAGAGTCACTAGTAGAGCTTATCAGTCTCCATGCCCATCCCCTACATAGCAGAAAGGAAGACAGAGAGAAAAAGAACAGGAGGGGAGAATGGCAGGGGAGAGGGACTGGGGAGAAGAGGGAGGTGGTCACACAAGGAGAGTGAAGATAGGACCCTCATATTCCCAGGCTCAGGGCTCCCACAGGACCACACAAGACTCTGGCTGGGGTGCCAGGCCCATGTGGATGACCCCACCAAACCCATACAGGAGGGTCATGTGGGCAGCAAGATGTGTGTATGTTTGGGATTCAGCTAAATCTATAACTTTTCATTTGTTCTTTTGACAGGAAAGATGACTGAATAATAATATTCATTAAATTTGGGGAGGTAGATACTCGGACGTTACATTTTTTTCTCTGTACTTTTTTGTGTTTGAAGAAAGTCCCCCTAATGAGAAGAAAGGAAAGGGAAAGATGAAAAAGGGCCCCAGACTGGGAGCCTGGGACTGCGGTCACTAACCCTGGCCCTCCTGCCGCCGATTGTCCCGCAGCTGCTGCCGCCATGCCCGACTCGGCGCTGTGGGCGGTGGATCTCTTCGGGAGGGTGTACACGCTCTCCACGGCTGGGCAGTACTGGGAGCTCTGCAAGGACACCCAGCTGGAGTTCAAGCGGGTCAGCGCGGCCACACAGTGCTGCTGGGGCATCGCCTGCGACAACCAGGTCTACGTGTACGTTTGCGCCAGTGACGTCCCCATCCGCCGCCAGGAGGTGGCCTACGAGAATCAGGTGGGATCCCGTGTGATTGGGCTGCTGAGTTGGTTGGTTTGCTGGGAGATAAAGCCCCCACACCCCAGACGCCTGGCCAATTCCCGCATTTGTTTCCTTCATTCTGCTTAAAACCCGAGTTGGGTAGCATCCCAGGGTCTTTGGGGCCAGAGCCCCTGTTGTGTCCTTACCAAGGCAGGCTTGCCAGGTCTGCACAAGGATGGGCTCCAGGCATTTTCCAGGAGCCCAGGACGGGGCTGTGACCCCCACTGCCTGCCCCGTGGGGCACTGTGGCCGGCCCTTTGGGGCCGGGTGGATGTGCTGGCTCATGATGAAGAGCCGTGGGGGTTGCTGATCCCTGAGTTCCAGGCAGGCCCTCTGCTGGCTTCCCATCCTGGGGATGAGCAGGAGGGCCTGCTGGCAGGGTCCCGCTGGCCCCTGGGAGGCCCCGGCTGCCCCATGCCAGCTGCAGGCCTAAGGCCCGTCTCTGCCTCCGGCCCTCAGCGCTGGAACCCCGTGGGTGGCTTCTGTGAGAAGCTCCTGCCGAGTGACCGCTGGCTGTGGAGTGACGTGAGTGGGCTCCAGCACCGGCCACTGGATGGGGTGGCACTGCCCTCACTGCACTGGGAGTGGGAGTCGGACTGGTACGTGGATGAGAATTTTGGAGGGGAACCCACCGAGAAAGGGGTAGGTGAACTCCATTCCCTCTGTGGCTCCTCCGTGGGGAGGGAGTGCCTTGGGCTCTGCTCGGCCCATCCCCCACCCCCCGTGCTGTGCCCAGCGCCCTGTGGCTGCCGACCTCCACCTGTGCCCTGCTGCCCCCCGCTTGCTGCCCGGGATTGGAGGGGATGGTGCCCTGGGCATGCTGCTGTCTCCTTCCCTCTCTTCCGGCCTGCTCCCCCGCTTCCTCAGCTCTTTCTTCCCCGAGAGCCTCACAGAGCCCCCTTGGTATTTCAGGGGTGGACTTATGCCATGGACTTCCCAGCCACCTACACGAGAGACAAGAAGTGGAATTCTTGCGTGCGGCGGCGGAGGTGGATCCGGTATAGGAGATACAAATCCCGGGACTCCTGGGCCAAGGTCAAGCTGCCTGTGGCCTTGGGGCGGGGCAGGGCCCAGAGGGCAGTCCCGCTGTTGGGAGGGTCACATGGACCCTCACCCTCCCCTCCTCACCACACCTACCCTGAGACCTTGGCTTTGAGTTGTCTCCTGTCCCGGGAATACCATGGCACTGTGTGTCCCTTCATTTGGGAGATGGCCACGTGGGGAGCCGGGACAGCACAGAACTTGTCCTGAGCTGGGTCTCAGGCTGCCCTGTCCCAGATTGAGGCTCAGTCTGTGCACTTCCATCCCCTCCCCGTGGATGCCACTCTGGCTCTTGTATCATTCCCATGACCCAGAGAATCCTCCCAACTTAGGGACGCAAGGCCTGGACTGGGGTCCTACATAGCCTTGAATGAGAGGAAGGCCTCGGGCCCTCACCAGACCTCTCCGGAGGGTCAGTGCCATGAGGTGGGGCTGCCAGCCCAGCCTGCCTGCCCCTCAGGCTGAGAGCAGCCCAAAGAGCAAGATGATGGCCGGTCACGCAGGGCTTACACCACAGGGCCGTGTTCTGTGATCGCCCCCTTCTAGACGGGGATGGAGTCACAGCAGTCAGGTCACTGCAGAGCGCAGAGCCAAGTCCTTGCACATACATCTGCCTTCCATCCTGGAGCAGCAGTGACCACTCAGGGACAACAGCCCAGGCCTGGTGGCTGATAGAGGAAGGACAGGGCAGAGGGGACTTAGGGCCGGATGCCCTCTCTCCTGATGTGAGGAGGTCAGGCAGTGGTGCGCTGAGCTGGAGAATGGAAGGCAGCATGCTGAGGGCTTGGAGAAGAGATGTTAGAGGTGGGTGCGTGGCCAGGTGCCCCCCAGGAGGGAAGCAGTGCCGTCTACTGGCCCAGGTGGCCACAGGTCCTGACTGCCACTGCCTCCCACCTCCTTGTTTCAGATCCCTTCAAAGGATGACCCCAAGCAACTGCCTGACCCCTTCAATGACCTCTCTGTGGGAGGGTGGGAGATCACGGACGAGCCTGTGGGCCGCCTGTCCGTGTGGGCTGTGTCTCTGCAGGGAAAGGTAAGGCCATGTCCCCCTATGCCTTGGGCGGGAGGTGGCTGAGGGGGGTTGGCCACAGGCAGGAGTGTGGTGGGAGAGAAGCTGACCTTTCGGTGTCCTCCCAGAGGTGGAGGAAGGAGGAAGACTGCCCCTGAGACCTCCTCACCTCCTGTCCCCACAGCTGGGGCTTCCCCGAGCAGGCAGCATGTTACTGGGCTCCCACAATCCCCCCTCCTGTGAATCCTGCTCTCCTGTGGACCTGCTGGGTCCTGCTCCTCCCAGAAGCCTCTGACCCCTAACTCCCTGCCTGGGCCTGGCCTGTCCCTCCTCTGAGCCCCTGGAGCACTGATCAGTGCCCACCGTGGGCTCAGCTGCCACCGGTATTGTCTCCTCAGATAGATTCTGAGCTTTCTGCCTACTCCCTTGTGGTGCCTCCCACACAGCAGTCTCCGGGAGTATTGTGGATGGATGGGTGGGTAGGTGGGTGGATGGATGGATAGGTGGATGAGTGATGGGTGGGTGGGTG